ATTGATATTGGATTGAGCCCAAAACTTGGGGAACATCATAATATGGTGGGAGGAGTCATTTGGTGAGTTTTGAGTGAAATTGAATCCCTAAAACTAGGCAATACACTAACCAATCCATTTCAGAACGCACTTCGTACGAACCTAAATTATTCGAGTTCATGGACCAATCGATATCGAATTGAGTCCAAAACTTGGGGAACGTCATAATATTGTGGGATGAGTCATTTGGTGAGTTTTGAGAGAAATCCAAATGCTAAAACTATGCAATACACCAACTATTCTATTACATAACGAACTTCGTACGATCTTGAATTGTCCAATTTCTAGGACTAATGGATATCGGTTTGAGTCCAAAACTTGGGGAACATCATAATATGGTGGAAGGAGTGTTTTGGTGAGTTTTGAGTGAAATCCAATTGCTAAAACTATGTAATACACCAGCCACTCCATTAAATAACGAACTTCATACATTCATGAATAGTCCAATTTCATGGACCAATCAATATTGGATTGAGTCCACAACTTGGACAACATCATAATAGGGTGGGAAGGGCCATTTGGTGAAATTTGAGTGAAATTCAATCGCTACAACTATGCAATGCGCTAACCACTCCATTTCAGAACGAAAATCGTACGAACCTGAATTGTCTAATTTCTTAGACTAATCGATATCAGATTAAGCCCAAAGCTTGGGCATCATCATAATATGGTGGGAGGGGTCATTTGGTGAGTTTTGTGTGAAATCAAATCTCTAAAACTATGCAATATGCCAACTACTCCAATACATAACGAAAATCGTACAAACCTGAATTTTCCAATTTGTTCGATCAATCAATATCGGATTGAGTGTAAAACTTGAGGAACATCTTAATATTGTGGGAGGAGTCATTTGGTGAGTTTTGAGTGAAATCCAATGACTAAAACTATGCAATACACTAACCACTCTATTACATAACGAGCATCGTACAAACCTGAATTGTCCAATTTCTTGGACCAATCGATATTGGATTATGCCCAAAACTTGAGGAACATCATCATATGGAGGAAGGAGTCATGTGGTGAATTTTGAGTGAAATCCAATCACTAAAACTATGCAATACACTAGCCACTCCGTTAGAGAACGAACTTCGTACGTACATGAATAGTCCAATTTCATGGACCAATCGATATTGGATTGAGTCCACAACTTGGGCGACATGATAATATCGTGGGAGGATGCATTTGGTGAGTTTTGAGTGAAATTCAATCTCTAAAACTTTGCAATACACCAACCATTCCATTTCAGAACGAACTTCGTTCGAACTTGAATTGTCCAATTTCATGGACCAATCGATATCGGATTGAGTCCAAAACTTGGGGAACATCATAATATTACTGGAGGAGTCATTTGGTGTGTTTGGAGTTAAATCCAATTTCTAAAACTCCATTACATAACGAACTTTGTACAAACCTGAATTGTCCAATTTCTTGGAGCAATCGATACATGATTGAGCCCCAAACTTGGGGAACATCATAATGTAGTGTGGGGAGTCATTCGGTGAGTTTTAAATGAAATCCAATCTCTAAAAATAAGCAATACAAAAACTGCTCCCTTTCGTAACGAACTTCGTACGGATCTAAATTGTGAAATTTCATGGACCAATCGATATCGGATTGAGTCCAAAATTTAGGGACCATCATAATATTATGGGAGGAGTCATTTCTTGAGTTTTGAGAGAAAGACAAATGCTAAAACTATGCAATACACCAACCACAATGTTACATAACGAACTTCGTACGAACCCTGAATTGTCCAATTTCTTGGACCAATAGATATCGGATTAAGTGCAAAACTTGGGGAACATCATAATATAGAGGAAAAACTCATTTGGTGGGTTTTGAGGGAAATCTAATCTAGAGAACTATGCAATACACTAACCACTCCATTTCAGAACGAACTTAGTACGAACCTGAATTGTCCAATTTCTTGGACCAATGGATATTAGATTGAGCCCAAAACTTGGGCAACATCATAATATGGTGGGGGGAGTCATTTGATGACTTTTGAGTGAAATTCAATCGCTAAAACTATGTTATACACCAAACACTCCGTTTCAGAACGAACTTCTTACGAACCTAAATTGTCCAATTCCGTGGACCAATCGATATCCGATTGAGTTTAAAACTTGGGGAACGTCGTAATATGGTGGGAGGATTCAATTGATGGGTTTTGGAGTGAATTCTAATCTCTAGAACTATGCAATACCCCAACCACTCCATTTCAGCACAAACTTCGTACGACCCTAAATTGTCCAATTTCTTAACCAATCATCATCGGATTGAGTCCAAAACCTGAGGAACATCATAATATTGTGGGAGGAGTCGTTTGGTGAGTTTTCATTGAAATCCAATTTCTAAAACTATGCAATACATCAATCACTCTATTACATAACGAACTTCGAACGAACCTGAATTGTCCAATTTCATGGACCAATCGATATCGGATTGAGCCCAAAACTTGGGAACATCATAACATTGTGGGAGGATTCATTTGGTGTGTTTGGAGTGAAATCCAATTTCTAAAACTATGAGATCCACCAACCGCTCCATTACGTAACGAACTTCGTACAAACTTGAATTGTCCAATTTCTTCGACCAATCGATATAGGATTGAGCCCAAAACTTGGGAAACAACATTATATGGTGGGAGGAGTCATTTGGTGAATTTTGAATAAAATCCAATCTCTAAAGCTTCGCAATACACTGACCATTCCATTTCAGAACGAACTTCGTACGAACTTGAGTTGTCCAATTTCATGGGCCAATCCACATCAGATTGAGTTCAAAATTTGGGGAACATCATAATATGTGGAAGAAGTCATTTGGTGAGGTTTGAGTGAAATCTAATTTCTAAAACTATGCAATACACCAACCACTCCATTACATAACGAACATCATACGAACCTGAATTGTCCAATTTCTTGGACCAATCAATAAAGCATTGAGCCCAAAACTTGGGCAACAACATAATATGGTGGGAGGAGTCATTTGGTCAGTTTTGAGTGAAATCCAATTCTAAAACTATGCAATACACCAATCACTCCATTTCAGAATGAACTTCGTACGAACCTGAATTGTCCAATTCCATGTACCAATCGATATCGGATTGAGTCCAAAACTTGGGGAACATCGTCATATGGTGGCAGTATTCATTTGGTGGGTTTTGAATGAAATCAAATCTCTAGAACTATACAATACAACAACCACTCCATTTCAGAACGAACATCGTACGAACCTAAATTGTGCAATTCCATGGACCAATCGATATCGAATTGAGCCCAAAACATGGGGAACATCTTAATATGGTGGGAGGAGTCATTTGGTGAGTTATGAGTGAAATCCAATTGCTAAAACTATGTAATACACCAATCACTCTATTACATAATGAAACTGTACGAACGTGAATTGTCCAATTTCATGGACCAATCGATATCGGATTGAGTCCAAAACTTGGGGAACATCGTAATATTGTGGGAGAAGTCATTTGGTGAGTTTTGAGTGAAGTCAAAATGCTAAAACTATGTAATATACTAACCACTCTATTATATAATGAACTTCGAACTAACCTGAACTGTCCAATTTACTAGACCAATCCATATCGGATTGAGCCCAAAACCTGGGGGACAACATAACATGGTGGAAGGAGTCGTTTGGTGAGTTTTGAGTGAAATCCTATCTCTAAAACTATGAATACACCAACCACTCCATTTTAGAACGAACTTCGTACGAACCTGAATTGTCCAATTTCATGGACCAATTGATATCGGATTGAGTCCAAAACTTGGGGAACATCATAATATGGTGAGAGGAGTTATTTGGTGGGTTTTGACTGAAATTCAATTTCTAGAACTATGCAATACACCAACGACTTCCTTTGAACCACAATTGTCCAATTTACTAGACCAATCCATATCGGATTGAGCCCAAAACTTGGGGGACGACATAATATGGGGGAATGAGTCATTTGGTGAGTTTTGACTGAAATTCAATTGCTAAAACTATGCATTTCACCAGCCACTCCATTACAAAATGAATTTCATATGAACCTGAATTGTCCAATTACTTAGACCAATTGATATTGCATTGAATCCAAAACTTGGGGATCATCGTAATATGGTGGGTGGAGTTATTTGGTGGGTTTTGAGTGAAATCCAATCGCTTGAACTATGCAATACACCAACTATTCCATTTTAGCACGAACTTCGTTCGAACCTGAATTGTTTAATTTCTTGTACCAATCAATATCAGATTGAGTCCAAAACATGGGGAATGTCATAATATTGTGTGGGGAGTCATTTGATGAGTTTTGAGTGAAATCCAATTGCTAAAACTATACAATACACAAATTCCTCTATTACATAATGAACTTTTGACGAACCCGAATTGTCCAATTTCTTGGACGAATCGATATCGGATTGAGCGCAAAACTTGGGGAACATCATAATATGTTGGAGGAGTCATTTGGTGAGTTTTGAGTGAAATTCAGTCTCTACATTATGCCAAAGTTCACTTTCCGCAACACTATATACGCATCGTTGAAGTGAAAAACCGGTGCTGTTAGTATTTAGGCATCAGTTTTATAAATAATAAGACTAAAAGTATATAGTGGCATCAGCACAAATTTATGTGTTTTCCTACCGATGTCATTGATTATATTTAGCATCTATGATACAAATATAGACTAATGCATAATATGGTTCTTCAAAAAACAAATTTAAGCGGAATATTTGCCACCGGCGCCAAAAGCAAGATTGACCGCTACAGTGATTTTTTGCTAAAAATTTTCGCCCCCTCGTGAAAATTTCGGACTCCCTCTCATATTTTTGGCCAAAAATTAAACTCCTTCTATTCTTTTTCGCGATACCCAGTCACTTTCTCAACCTTCTCACCTTCTCACCTTCAAACTCCCTTCTCTCTTGCGATACCCAGAGTCTATACCCACAGTCACAGTCACTCTCTCATTCCTCTCACCTTCAGCATCTCTCTTCTTCATCGATTTCTTCTCTGTCCTCCATCTCTGTCATCATCTATTCTTAAACCCTAAAAGAGCGAGCCGTAGACCTCCTCCTCGTCATCGAGAAGGGCCATCAGAGTCCCTTTGTTAACCTTCGTCGTCGTCATCCTCTTCCTCAATGGAGTCCTCTTTCTCGTCGTCGTTGTCCTCCAGGTGAGATTATTTCGTTAGGGTTTCAATTTATTGGGTAATTTCTCTAATCTTACTCTTGTTTGTTGTGGCTAATATTTGATCGCCTTGACGTCTGTGTCTGTGCTCCTCAATTGTTAGTTTCTCTCTCTAGTATCACACATTCTCATGTATTTTCTTCCACTTTCTCACAATCAAACAGACGGAGATCATTATAAAAAAATTTATTTTTTGGCTGCTGCAGAGATAGATCAGTCGTTGGTCACTCTAACTTTTGTGAGACAATTTCTATGTCTTCTTCTCAAATCAACGGCGCCACCGCTTTTGAAGTCTCCGGTAATCTCTCTCACTGTACATTTATGTATATAATGTAGAATTATATATTAATTATGTGATTATGGGCATAATCAATATAAGGAACGCTAGCAGATTGTGTGTCTTTAGCATTATCAGAGGCATTGTTCGCATGGTCAAAGCCTGCTTTGGTATTATTGATCGCTAACTGTTTGATTTGAGGTTTGTTCAGATTTCTCGATCAATCAATGATCTTTCTTGATTTTCAGGTCGTCAGTGGAATAAACAGAGGATCAACCTCTGTTTATAAAGGCTTGCTCAGTTATTTCAAAAGGGTCTTGTTTATAAAGGCTTCAAGGTTGGTTGGTTGCATTGTGTTTTCTTCAACTGGGTATTGAGAATTTCTGAATTAAACAAGTTTTGGTCATTAGTGGTGGGAGATGAAATAATTGTTTTTTTTTTTTTGTAGGTCATGCCATTGTTAATGTGTTGAATCTTGCTATTGTTGAAGACAAATGTTTGATATTGATACTTAAAATGGTTGAGCTTGTAGATAGATTTAACCCCCTGAATATCCAGGTTCGTAACCATCACTCACATGTATTAGCTTGCTTTTGGCACAATATTAGATGGCTGTTTGTACACTAGAAATTGTCCCAACGTGTTATTAAATTCTGCTGGAAGTAAATTCATTTGTTCACTTTTCTACTTCATAGCCTGGCTGCTTTTAGTTATGCTTATATATACTTTCTTATTAGATGACTTGCTAAAAGTTTTCCTTACCGCGGTGGTGTTGCCAATCTCCTGTAGTTTATATATGGTTAGCCTTGAAAATTGTTTTCATATAATAGACACATTTATTGCTTTTATTCGGAAATCTTGTCCATTTTTGAATTTATAACATATCAATAGCTGTCAGCACTTTATCCTTGCTCTGATGAAAGAAAAGCAGCTTGAAGAAGCAATTATTGTTTTTTTTCTTTTTCTTTTTTGGTTTTTGGGGGTGTGGGGTGGGTGGGGGTTATGATTGAAGAAGTAATATTTGAGATGCGTTGTGTGTACTTCAACCAGGTTAGTCTCTGATTGGTATGATTCATGAACATTGATGTTGTAAATAGGAACGCTACTCATGGACAGGATGTATCTGCATTCTACACAAAGCGTCTTACACAGTAATGATGTATGACTTTCTTTTCTTCCCTTTTCTTTTAGCATACCATCTTTTAGCTTTTTCCACTTAGTGCAATTGCAAAAATTGTATTAGTTCATGAAGCTGAGGCATTTTGGAGCAATTGTGGTGGACATCAGTCCTTTCTCCAGCACAAGTTTTTTGTGAAGGTCAGTTACTTTGTCACTTAATTTTGCTTCTGCTATAACAGTAGTTTTGATATCTATTATCTATTTTGCTTTTTTAAAGGTGTATCCATTTATTTATTTGTTTCAATGTCACTTTGACCATATCATGCAAATTTAAACCCCATATTGGCATTTAAACTGTTTTTCTTTTAATTTTTATTATAATATGATATCCTGGCCATCTAGTGGTTATCATACAATTCTGTGATGTCATTAGTTTTTTGTTCAACTTTATTCACATATTTTTTATGCTATATCACTTGAGAATCTAATTTGAGGTGCCAAAAAAATTAGGTTCACAACAAGTACTCCGGAAAAGTATATATTGTTGCTGAATCTTGGTGGGAAAAAAGAAACTGTTGATACTTCATATGAAGTATTGGAGAAAGTCTCTGGGGCTTCATTAGTGGGAAAGAATGAGTACTTCTGTTCCTTATTTTTTCAAATTATTGTCAGACTGGAGTTTAGTATGTGGTTTCTTTTGTTTACTTAGTTCATGTAGTTATTTATGCGTATCACAATTATAAAGAGACTGTGAACTGCAGGTATGAACCATTATTTGACTACTTTAAGGAGTTCTCTGATGTGGCATTCAGAAGTTGTTGCCGACAACTACGTAACTGATGACAGTGGTACTGGTGTTGTTCATTGTGCTCCTTTATTTGGTGAAGATGATTATTTGCTCTTTTCTTTCTTAGCCTTCGCTCTTTTCTTTATTATTTGTAAAGCCTTGTAAGTGGTATAATTGTCAAATGCAGCTGCGGTGGTAGATGCCTGATTGCAGAGTACACAAATCGAGTGGGAGAAATATCCAAGGAGCATGGTTTGAAGCTTGACATTGATGGGGCTTGCATTTTCAATTCATCAGTTGTGAGTCAACTTTTGCCATGCATTTAGTTATAACTAATGTATAAAATTTGGATGATATTCAGTTTAATAAATCAAGAACAAGGCTATAATCATGTCAGTGATGAAATAGATCAATGTAAATGGAAGAGATTGTCTTACTGATTAGATGGATTGAAGTTTAGTAAGAAAAGAAACTAGTTAGAATTTTTTTTAGTTGAAATTTAAACTTTGGTTTTAACTTGATAGATAATGAATGGATTCCATTCATAGAATGGTAGCTCTGATTATTAATTAAGGAAGGCTTGTTAATATTTTATTAGTTTAGAAAAAAACCAAAAGCTCATCATGTTTTTCATGTTAAACACATTCAAATGGATCAACAATATCACTTCCTCTGATCCCCTTTTTCGATATGTGTTTCTTATAATTTCCAACATAAAAAATGACAGAATATTCAATTACTAACACAAACTATTGGTCTACAGGCGCTTGGTATTCCTGTTGATAGGCTTGTGCAAGCTGCTAATTCAGTTTCAATATGATTCCTATAACTGGCATTCTTAGTTATCTTATTTATCAAGTTTTATTAACCAAGCCTGTTAAAGTTTTATTTTCCCTTGATCTTAATATGCAGCTTATATTGAAAATCATTACTAGCTCTGCTGCCATGTAAGGACCATTTATGGAACTATGTTTTATAAATAAGGGAATATATGAACATTATTCTAATCGATAAAGCAACTAGTTTGGCTGTGCTATAGAGAATGAAGTACTCTTCATCTTATCTCTAGCATTGTTCTTTGAATTATGTCTTTTGATTGCATGACATGTTAATTTGAGAATTCAAGTAAATGAGTATTTTTTCTTCTCAAAATGCTGATGCAGAGCATGAAAGTGGAGGTGAGGTGGTGAAAGTAGTTGATGAAGCTAAAGTGAGCCATGGAGAGCGTAAAGGACTTGTGATGAAGCTAAAGTGAGCCATGAAGTTGTTGAGACACCAGCTGAAGGAATGGAGCAATTAAAGTGCAATTGTAGTCTGCTTTGGTAAGTTCTAAGTTGCTTTCTTCTATGCATGATCTTTTGAAATACTCCTGCGATTTAGATAGTAGTTATATTAGTCCACATAATAGTACCTTTTCAATATACACTAGTTTGTTTTTAGAACACATTTTCCATGCTATTCACATCTAGTTGACTAACTTCTTGGCTTAATTGCATCACTCAGATGGATTAGTTTTCTCACATTTTTCAAGTTCAGGCCCAAGTTATGGAGAAGAAGGAGCCATCTTAGCTGCTGAGGATGTTGGGATTATTAGGGGCAGTTGTTCTATTCATGTTCATTGTCTTCGTGAGCTTAAGACTTTTAGAGTATGATGAGAGGCATACGTTCATTTGTTTGAACTAATTCTACCTTTAATTTACAAGGTTTTTTTTTTTTTTTTTTTTTTGGCTTATAGACAAGTATGGATCATATGCGGGGTTGAAAAATTTGTGATTTATGGAAGTGTTGGATATATATTTCTTGTATGGATATATTTAAATTTATATATGTTTTTTGATGTGCAATGGAAAACACTAGATAATATTGTTCGTAACAACCTCAATTTTGCAAAAATAACAAAAGTTAAAAATTTAAAATAACAATAGTACTCATAAAACAATTGATGCCTATAATTAAAAGTAGCATCATCACTATTGTATTATGTGATGTTATAAGTCGGAAAACGCATCAGTGTAGCATAAAATTCTTCTGTTGTAAATCGTATTTAGCATCGGAATCGGAACTATTAAAACTACCGATGTCATAGCATGTTTAGGCATCGGGGGTCAACGATTTTTTGGCACATGGGAGGCACTTTAGCATCGATGTTCAGGACAAAACTGATGCAGTAGATATATAAAGGGAACGGATAATATCCGAAGCGTATCACTATAAAATGGGCACCGGTTCCAAATACATCGGTCGGAAGGGACCTTTCGCAACGGATATTATCTGTTGCTAAAGGTCAAATTTCACATAGGTCTAAAACTTTGCGATACACCAACCATTCCACTTCAAAACGAACTTCGTACGAACCTGAATTGTCCAATACCATGGACCAATCGATATCAGATTGAGTCCAAAACTTGGGGACCAACGTAATATGGTGGGAGGAGTCTTTTGGGGGGTTTTGAGAGAAATCCAAACTCTAGAACTATGCAATACACCAATCACTCCATTTCAGAACGAACTTCGTACGAACCTGAATTGTCCAATTTCATGGACCAATCGATATCGGATTCAGCCCAAAACTTGAGCGAGGAGTCATTTGGTGAGTATTGAGTGAAAATCAATCTCTAGAACTATGCAATACACCAACTACTCCATTTCATAGTGAACTTCGTACGAACCTGAATTGTCCAATTTCTTGGACCAATCGATATCGGATTGAGCCCAAAACTTGGGGAACATCACAATATGGTGGCAGGAGTCATTTGGTGAGTTTTGAGTGAAATCCAACCTCTAAAACTATGCAATACGCCAACAGCTTCATTTTAGAACGAACTTCGTATAAACCTGAATTGTCTAATTTCAAGGATCAATCGATATTGGATTGAGTCCAAGACTTGGGGAAAATCATAATGATGTGGGAGGAGTCATTTGTTAAGTTTTGAGTGAAATCCAATCTCTATAACTATACAATACACCAACCACACCATTTCAGAACGAACTTCGTACGAACCTGAATTGTCCAATTTGTTGGACCAGTCGATATCGGATCGAGCCCAAAATTTGGGGAACATCATAATATGGTGGCAGGAGTCATTTGGTAACTTTTGATGGAAATCCAACCTCTAAAACTTTGCAATACAGCAACCACTCCATTTTAGAACGAACTTCGTACGAACCTGAATTGTCAAATTTCAAGGACCAATCGATATCGGATTGAGTGCAAAACTTGGGGAACATCATAATATGGTGGGAGGAGTCATTTGGTAAGTTTTGAGTGAAATCCAATCTCTAAAACCATGCAATACACCAACCACTCAATTTCAAAACTTTGTACGAACATGAATAGCCCAATTTCTTGGACTAATCGATATCGTATTGAGTCCAGACCTTGGGGAACATCATAATATGGCGGGAGGAGTCATTTGGTGAGTTTTGAGTGAAATTCAACATCTAAAACTATGCGATACACTAACCACTCCATTCTAGAATGAACTTCGTAGGAACCTGAATTGTCCGATTTCATGGACCAATAGATATCGGATTGAGTCCAAAACTTGGGGAACATCGTAATGTTGGTTGAGGAGTCATTTGGTGAGTTTTGAGTGAAATCCAATTGCTAAAACTATGCAATGCACCAACCACTCCTTTAGAGAACGAACTTCATACGAACATGAATAGTCCATTTCTAGGACCAATCTATATCGGATTGAGCCCAAAACCTGGGGAATATCATAATATGGTGGGAGGAGTCATTTTGGTTAGTTTTGAGTGAAATCCAATTGCTAAAACTTTGCAACACACCAACCATTCCATTTCATAATGAACTTCATACGAACCTGAATTGTCCATTTTCTTGTACCAATCGATATCGGATTGCGCCTAAAACGTGGGGAACATCATAATATGGTGGGAGGAGTCATTTGGAAGGTTTTGAGTGAAATCCAATCTCTTGAACTATGCAATACACCAAACACTCCATTTTAGAACGAATTTCGCACGAACCTAAATTGTCTAATTTCATGAACCAATTGATATCAGATTGAGTCCAAAACTTGAGGAACATCATAATGTTGTGGGAGGAGTCATTTGGTGAGTTTTGAGTGAAATACAATTGCTAAAACTATGCAATACACCAACCACTCCATTAGAAAACAAACTTCGTAGGAACATGAGTAGTCCAATTTCTTAAACCAATCGATATTGGATTGAGCCCAAAACATGGGGAACACCATAATATGGTCGGAGGAATCATTTGGTAAGTTTTGAGTGAAATCCAATGCCTAAAACTATGCAATACAACAACCACTCCATTTCAGAACGTACTTCGTACAAACCTGAATTGTCTAATTTCATGGACCAATCGATATCGGATTGAGTTCCAAACATGGGCAATATCATAACGTTGTGGGAGCAGTCATTTGGCGAGTTTTGAGAGAAATGGAATTGCTAAAACTATGCAATACACCGACCACTCCTTTAGAGAACGAACTTCGTAGTAACATGAATAGTCCAATTTCTTGGACCAATCGATGTCGTATTGAGCACCAAACTTGGGGAACACCACAATATCGTAGGAGGAGTCATTTGGTGGGGTTTGAATGAAATCCATTGGCGAAAACTATGCGATAGACCAACCACCCCATTTCAGAACGAACTTCGTACGAACCAAAATTCTCCAATTTCTTGGACCAATCGATATCGGATTGAGCCCAAAACATGGGGAACAACATAATGTTGTGGGAGGAGTGATTTGGTGGGTTTTGAGAAAAATCCAATTGCTAAACCTATGCAATACGACAACCACTACATTGTAGAATGAATTTCGTATGAACCTGAAGTGCCCCATTTCACGGACCAATCGTTATCGTATGGAGCCCAGAGCTTGGGGAACATCATAATATGGTGGGAGGAGTCATTTGGGGAGTTTTGAGTGAAATCCATTGTCTAAAACTATGCAATTCACCAACTCGTCTATTTCAGAACGAACTTCATATGAACCTGAATTGTCCAATTTCCGGGACCAATCGATATCGGATTAAGCCCAAAACTTAGGGAACATCATTATATGGTGGAAGGAGTCATTTGGAGGGTTTTGAGTGAAATCCAATCTCTTGAACGATGCAATACAACAACCACACCATTTTATAATGGACTTCATACGAACCTGAATTGTCCAATTTCATGGACCAATCGATCTCGGATTGGGTCCAAAACTTGTGGAACATAATAATATGGAGGGAGGAGTCATTTGGTTTTGAGTGAAATTCAAACTCTAAAACTATGTGATACACCAACCACTCCATTCTGGAACAAACTTCTTACAAACCAGAATTGTCCAATTTCTTGGACCAATCGATATCAGATTGAGCCCAAAACATGGGGAACATCATAATTTTGTGGGAGGAGTCATTCGGTGAGTTTTGAGTGAAATCCAACTGCTAAAACAATGTAATGCACCAACCACTCCATTTCATAACGAACTTCGTACGAACCTGAAGTGTCCAATTTCTTGGACCAACAGATATCAGATTGAGTCCAAAACTCGGGGAACATGATAATATGATGGTAGGAGTCATTTGTTGAGTTTTGAGTGAAATCCAACTTCTAAAACTATGCAATACACGTACTACTCAATTTTAGAATGAACTTTGTACGATCCTGAATTGTTTAATTTCATGGACCAATCGATATCGGATTGAGTCCAAAACTTGGAGAACATCATAATATAGTGGGAGGAGTCATTTGGCAAGTTTTGAGTGAAATTCAACGGCCAAAACTATGCAATACACCAACCACTCCATTTCAAATCGAACTTCATACAAACCTGAATTGTCCGATTTCATGGACTAGTCGATATCTGATAAGTTCAGAATTTCATACATTTGCATGCCTTCTTTACTTAGTGACTTTGCTTAGTTTCTCTTTATTCGGTGGGTTTTGTGTGAAATCCACTCTCTAGAACTATGCAATATATCAACCACTTCATTTCTGAATGAACTTCTTACGAACATGAATAGTCCAATTTCTTTGACCAATCGAAATTTAATTGAACCCAAAACTTGGGGAACATCGTAATATGGTGGGAGGAGTCATTTGGTGAGTTTTGAGTGAAATCCAATGGCTAAAACTATGCAATACATAAACTACTCTATTTCAAAACGAACTTTCTACGAACCTGAATTGTCCGAATTCATGGACCAGTCGATATTTAATTGAGTCCAAAACTGGGAGAGCATCATAATATTGTGGGAGGAGTCATTTTGGGGGTCCTGAGTGAAATCTAATTATTGGGGATTTCAGTTATTCAGTTGCATAGAGCGTGAAGAAACGAGTCCGTAGACACGCAGTGGACTCGAATCGGAGTTGTAACGAAGGGGTTATGATCAAAAGAAGTTCAGTGGCATAACCGTAAATATTGCGAAGTTTAGTAGTTTTAAACCCATAATTCTGCATTTCGGGAGGTGTTTTCTCTCAACTCCGACCCCCGATTTGAGCAAGACCAGTTTCGTTAGAAACACCACACTTTCCTCTTCTAGTCCCAGCCTTTTGCTGCCCCGATCCGCAGCCGTGGTAGCCGGAAACAGCCAATAAACAGGCGGTGTTGGACAGTTTTTTCATAAACTTTCGCCGGCTCGTTCTCCGTCATCCGGCCACCATTTCCGGTGATCCAGGTATGGAAACTCATCTATTTCTCGAGCCCTAGCTGCTGGTTGGGTAGGATTTCAGAAATTTCTAGTGTAGATAACTCGATCTTGGATCCAAAGTTTAGCCAAATTTTGGGTTGAGATTCCGGCCATTTCCGGCCACTTTTTGG